AGCCTCAGTACCCTGGGAGTGGATAGCCTGGGACCAGGACTGGAGTTGGTGGGGGGTTGGTGGGCCCCCAGGAGCCCTGCATTTTCTCTATTGCCTGGAGTCGTCTCCATATCTCTACACTTAAGAACCTAGCAGAAATAGCCGAAATAGGCAGTGAGACTCCTTCACCCATACCAAGATTGTCCGCTCTGGACATGAATGACCCTGGCCTTCAACTCTATAGCTTTGGCGTTTGGCTCACCACTAATTGTTTGCCCTTTTAGCCGCCAGCCTAGCTTACTTAGTAGGGCTGCTTCACCAAGGAAACTAGAAAAAAAAAAAAAAAAGTAATCAGGTGTCAGCAGAAGCAGTGCACTGAAAGTTAATTTGGGACGTTTGTCTTCCCCCCCCCCGCCCCCTTAACCACGTGACAGGCCGAAGATCTCCGGGTGATCTTTGCCGGGCCAACTTGGGAAATGTAATTGATACCAGGAGCTTTGCAGCCACCCCTAGAAGGTTCAGAGCTGAGCGGGAATGGGCGGGGCGGCCCGCCGCCTCATTTTACAGTTGGGGAAGAGGCTGTGAGGGGTGAGCTGCTTGTCCACGACCACTCAGCCAGGGGGTGACAGAGCCACCCAGGGCTCCTGACTCCAGGTCCTGTGTGTTACCTCGAAATAGCACTGGACTTGGAGTCAGAAGGCCTGAGTGGAGTCACCTTCCCCGCTCTCTGGCTGGGTGATCCTGGAGCAAGCCATTTTGACTATCCAGCCGGGTTCCTCCATCTGTCCAATGGGGCCGGTGGTGCTGACGGAGAAGCCAGAGGCCTGCTGGTGGGGGTGAGCCTTGTTTGCATGTGATATGTCTGGCTGTCCCTGCTGCTGATTCCCCACAGCCCTTCCCGGACCCTCCCCTTCCCCCAGCTCTCCCCTTGGGAGGGTTGGGGAAAGTGGATCGTCTTTGTCCCCAAAAGATTTCTCGTTGTCTTTCGTGGCTAACCCAGACGTAGATTAAGGAGAACTTGGGTTTCAGGGACTTTTATCCATTGTTGCTAAAGTAGCTGATTATCAGAACCAGGATTGTGGCAGCCTCTTGGAAATGTTTGAAGAGTGTGTCCCCAGGACCTCTGTGGTGTGCCCTCACCCACCATCCCGCATGGCTTTTTCCCTTAGTAGGCCTTCCTGCCAGTTTGCCCTGCTCTCTCTGCTGTTTTTCATAGTCAGTTATAAAACCAAGCACTATGTGTTTGAGTCTATCCAGTAGGATCTAAGTTATGCCTTTTATCTCTTTGTGCCCACATGGCACCTGCCAGCATGCTGAGCAATGTTCCTTTGCCCAGTTCTTGATGAGGTACATGGATTACAAAGGGGTACAGTTGAGCCTTGCCAAACAGAAGCTCCCGGGCTGACAGGGGAGACAGCTGGGCAATGAATATGGGAGAAAGGAATGTACAGGGTTACAGCTGCTAGCAAAAGCCTGGGCTCCAAAGGCCACATGGAAAGCTCAGTAAATAAAGGGGTTATTTGAAATCACTAGAGTGCTTGGAGTGACAGTCATAGTGTCAGAGATGACAAAGGCATCCAACCCTTACTGAAAAATTTTAAAATTTCAACATTGTTAGAAAACATCTCCAAACATCATAGAAAAGGATGTATCCAATATTTCAAAAGCTGTTTAATTTTGTGTGTGTGTTTGCATGTATGCTCTGGTATTAATGTGTGTGGAGGTCAGAGGACAGCTTGCAGAAGTTCTCTGCCACCAAGTGGGATGTGGAGATTGAACTCAGGTCATCAACCTTTACCTGCTGAGCCATCTCACCAGTCCAGAATAATGTAATGGTATTCAAAGAGAGCTACTCTAAAGTCATATGTACCTCAAGATGTTTTTCTTTCCTATCCATATAGATCACTTATTTGGGAAAAAAAAGAAAACAACAAATGGAATTATTCTGATACACTAATTTGTAAATTGGAAGCACACTGTTTTGTAACTTGCCTTTTTTTCTCCTCCTCACAATATGCTGTGAACATCTTTTCTCATCAATAAATATTGTGCTTAATATCTTAATGGTTGTATAGTATTTCATGGAGGGTTGAGCCAACATGCACCAATCAGTCCTTCAGTTGTTTGCATTTATGCTATTGTAAGCAGTGCTGACATGAATATCTTTGTGTACATGTGTTCTTTCCTTCATTTAAATTCCTAGAAGTAAAATTGCTCTATCAAAGGAACCATGCAGGCATTTGGTAAACACATATTTAAATTATCTTCTAGAGAGATTGTATTCATTTACGCACTCATTGACATTGTTTGGGGATGTGATTGGCCATACCCCAGTTATTCATACTATTTTCATTTTTACCAGTCCAGTCAAGAATACACTGTTACTCTTGCTGTTTAGTGTGTATTTCTTTGGTAACATGTGCTATTCAACTGCTCCCCACTTGCAAGGCTCCAGGGACTTGACCTGACTAGGGCAGAGAGGGAGTAAAGAAGAGACAGACACAGGGAGACACAGAAATGACTGGGATGGGGGTGGACTGAGCTCTCTAATGGAGAAACCCTCAGATGCTCGGAGTGTGAAGTTACTGCATACAGATAAATGAGGAGGCAAAGTTTAGGTGCTGCTGGATCAAGAGTTCAGTTTAGCTAACTTAGGTAGGAGCTGTCTCTGTAGGGAAACAGTCTTCAGACTATAAATATCCAGGGGAAGAAAACTATGGTGGACATTTTCTGCATTTACTGTTGACGGTCATACTCGGAGCCCCAGAAGGTTTTTGCTATGTCTCTTTTTGAGCCTCACTTTGGTGGCGACAGTGGGTTAGGACTCTTTGCCAGTTTCCTATGGGTCTGAAGCCATGCCCATGCCAACAGTGTCCATTCACTCAGGGCTTTCTCTGCTCCCTATGCTCAACTTCTTCCCATAGATAATCACTTACAGCTGGTTCCGTGTGGCCCCATGGTTGTGAACTTGTTCCATTTTACGGTTGGATCTTTGTCTCCTCTTCACTGTTAAGCTGGAACTGAGCACACAGAAAGGGGCCATGGAGAACTGGAGAAAGGACTTGAAGTCCTCCTGCCACTTCATAGGTCTGGAATACTGCTGCCTCCATTGCCCTTGAAGCCAGGGCCAGCTGCTGTCCAAGTCAGAATTGCAGCTGTGTATAGCAGGTGCATTGGCCCACCTTTGGCCTGCATGAGACTGGGGGCAGGGTCACTTTTTCATGAGTACATCTGGGGACATGTAGCCCAGAGGCCTGAGCTCCACTTCTCTGGCCAATGCTGTTGGTGAGCGTGTCTATGATACCCAGGAAAGGCAACAGCCTAGCAGTTGGGCCCCTGGGGCTCATGTTTCCCCCTGGCCTTGGGGCCTCCTCTCCCCAACTGGTGCAGGTCAGCCAGGAACTCCACTATGCTGTGCTATGAGTCACCCTTTTCCTTCCCTCTCATTTAGAAGGCTTGAGTCAGAAGCAGCCCTGCAAATGGGGCCTCAGGCTTGGAAGTGAGGTCATGACGAGAGCATTGCAGTGCTAACAGCTGCCTTCCCTTCCCAGGCGGCTGCTGCAGCAGCCGCATTTATAGCATATCCCCCTGGTCACATGTTCTTTGCTGAGCCTCTGTTGGCACTGTTACATTTTCTTCCCCACAAAGATCTGTACAGTCTAGGTAGTGTTTTTACAGTTTTAAAGATTCTGTGGTCCCTAAGAACTCACTGACTTGCTACTTTACTTACACTGCCTTAGAGTAAGTGAAGAGGCAAGGATAGTGGTACATGCCCGTACAACCTGAGATAGTGGTACAAGCTCCTACAACCTGACTCTTAATGCTGCCTGAAGAGAGGCTGTTCTCTGTGCTCATGGTTGTTTCTCTGGCATCTCAAACAAATGATGACACACCGAGAGAGGATAGAGTCTAAAGTAATTTTGTTGCTTTGGGCCTCGGTTTCTCAACCTGTGAAATGGGGGTAATACACCCTGTCTGTCAGGAATGAAATAATGGATTGTAAAGTGAGCATTGACCTGCTGCCTAGACACATTGCAATTTTCTCACTGAAGCATTTTCATGGAACAGAATTAAACTTAGAGCTAGCTCTGTGCATGCAATCTTTTTTTTTTTTTTTTTTTTTTTTTTTTTTTTTTTTTTTTTTGAGACAGGGTTTCTCTGTGGTTTTGGAGGCTGTTCTGGAACTAGCTCTTGTAGACCAGGTTGGTTTCGAACTCACAGAGATCCACCTGCCTCTGCCTCCCGAGTGCTGGGATTAAAGGCGTGCGCCACCACCGCCTGGCTTGTGTATGCAATCTTTTGTTTGGTTTGTAGTACTGGAGATTTCACTCAAGGCCATGTAAAGACTAGGCAAGCATTTTTACTTTCATTTATTATTTATTTTTTTCTTGTTCTTTTGAAGCAGGGTCTCTCTATGTAGCCCTGGCTGTCCTGGAATTCACTCTGTAGACCACCAGGCTGGCCTCGAACTCAGAGATCCTCCTGCCTCTGCCTTCCTTAGAGGTGCGCACCACCACCACTCAGCTTGAGTTGACCTTTCTGTGTTCTCTCCTTCTTGCCAAGGCCCTTTTCCCATCTTCAACTAGATTCTTAGAGCTGCTACCAGTCTTTACCACACTAGACTTTGCCTTCTCTTATTTGTCATTGGTCTTGGTCACAAGATTGAGAGGAAGGGAGCAGATATTTTTCCATATAAGCCTGCCCCCAGCATGCATAGCCTCCCCAGTCATCAGTGTTCCTCACCAGAAATCCACTGTAACAGTAGACAAACCCACACACATCCGTCATGATTGCCCAGAGCCCCCAGAGCCCCTTAGTTCACAGCATGGCTCACTCGTAGAATTGCGCATTCTGTGGATTGGGACAAAGATGTTAGCAATAGTACATTGTAGCATTGCAGGGCTGTCCCATGTCCTAACAGCTTGTAGAACTCTGTCTTTCCACCCCTTTGCTCTCATTTTTGCCAACTTGTGGCATTTTATTATTATTATTATTATTATTATTATTATTATTATTATTATTATTTATTAGTTCTAGTTAGGGAACAAGCTTATTTCAAGTCCCTTCTCCCTTTCCCTCCCCTCACCCCCAGCCCTCCTCCCCCATCCCCAGTCTACCCCCCACCCCATCCACCCACCACTCCCCAGGCAGGGTAGGGCCCTCAACTGGGGCTCTGCAAAGTCCACCAAGTCTTCCTATGCTGGTCCTGGGCCCTTCCCCATGTGTCCAGGGCCAGAGAGTAACCCTTCACATGGGATGGGCTCTCAAAGTCCCTTCTTGCACCAGGGAAAAATACTAATCCACCACCAGAGGCTCCCTGGAGTGCAGAGGCCTCCTTATTGACATCCATGTTCAGGGGTCTGGATCAGTCTTGTACAGGCCTCCCCGACAGCATTGGGGTCGATGTGCTCTCCCTTGTTCAGGCCAACTGTTCCTGTGAGTTTCTCCAACCTGGTACAGACCCCTTCGCTCCTCATTCCTCCCTCTCTTCAACTAAATTCCCAATTTCGGCTCATTGGGCTCATTCGGATGTCTGTCTCTGCTTCCATCAGCCACTGGATGAGGGCTCATGTTTGTCTTTTTTTACTGTGTCCATAGGTTTGCCTTTTTCAGAGAATCACAGGTTTGCAATCATGCAGTCATGTAGTATGTGGGTGCAGATGGGCTTATTTCAGGTAGTAGTAAGAGTTAAGATTCCTTCACGTCTTTTC